GTTTTCAGTGACGCACGCCATCAACTCTTCGTGGAGCTGACATGCCATGAGAGTGAAATGCTCAGGACAGCCGAACTCCTGTATAACATTCCATAGTCCGTTGTGATTCACCGTGTCGAAGGATTTCCACAGGTCCACAAAGCTCGTGTAGAGGTGAGTACGCATCACCTGGCAGTTCTCCTGTGCCTGTTGTGCGACGAAGATCACGTCGGCGGTGCCGCGATAGGGACGAAAACCACACTGGCTTTCCGACAGGTGACCTTGTTCCAGGTGGTTATTGAGGCAGTTTAGGAGCACACGGGCGAAGATTCTGCCGGTGAGGTTGTGCAACGAGATTGCATGGTGATTGTCGCAGAGTTTGCGGTTCCGTAGCGCTTGCAGAAATGGAGGTGTGTAGCTTCTTTAAAGTCCTGGGGGACTTGCCCTTGACGCCACATCTCCTCAAAGAGCGCAGTTATATGGTTCATAAGTTGTTGGTCGCGGCACCTGTACATCTAAGACGAGATAGCGTCTGAGCCGGGTGTTTTCTCGCTAGGGAGTTGCTGCATGGCCCTGATCATTTCCTGAGGAGTGAGTGGAAGATGGAAGTCAGTCTTGATTTGTGCACGAGGCAGGGAGTTGATGGCGGCATCGGAGATGGTGAAGGGGTCATTGAGTACGCGTTAGAAATGTTCAGTCCAGAGTTTAAGGATTTGCACCTTCTCAGTGAGTAGAGTAGTTTCATCAGCACTGAGAAGATGAGCTGTTCCTTTGACTCTGGGACCATAAACAACCTTGATCACGGCGGTGAAGTTCTTTCAGTCATTTTGGTCGCGTTAACTTAGAGTTCCTCGCAGCCTTTGTTGTACAAGAGGGCGACTCCGGTAGAAGGCCGCTTTGGCGCAAGCAGTTCTTCTCGACCAGCAGATTGCTGTTGACTGCATAATTTTTGTCAAACCAGCCCTGATGTTAGCGAAGTGCTCGGCGCTAGTCCGTGCGTTGAAGTGCCGTTGAGTTGACCGTTCCACATAAACGGGTAGCGGAAATATCGGACTTCACGTTGCTGCACCGAGTCCGTGTTCGTTTAAACAGTGTTTTCAGACAGCTTCGTTTGTGAGCCATCGGATACTTGTTGTGAGAATTAACGAGCTGCTTGTTGTTCGTCGCCTTCATGTTAACGACTTAAAAAAATCATTTAGCATATCAAGGAAGGGCATCTGCTACATTCTCTCTTCATCTCTCGTAAATCGTATATCTGGAAAGATTGAGTTAAAACAGTTGTTGACGTTCTGCAGCATGTTCATCTTGACGATAAAGAAAGTGTCGTTCACGTAACGACGCCAAAATTATTAGGGGCGGTCTTAACCGACTCGTTCTGATGACCCGTCCCGTGCCGCAAAATAGCCTGGCCCCTGAACCCTACGCGTGATGATATCGCACAAGTTGCCGACAGGATTAGTGCTCTGCCCAACCACTCGGATAAGTCAGAAAGTCAGTTCGGATGCTATTCCTTCGAGGACACTAGATGATTGGCCCAATTACTTTCCGACCTTGTAAATACGCGTGTGCTGATTTTTGGCCTAAAATACGTTATACTATGAACATCAATACACTTCCATTCTACCACCCTTACTGTTGAGTTCTCGATTTGGGATTCGATCAAAGCGGTATTGGGCAGAACCAACATCATGGCTTTTAGCAAGATTATAAATAAAGGAATAAAGAAACACCTCCCAGCATGGCTTAGAAAAGGTGAGGTCAGGAGCATAAGCAGCTCTAGTCTAGCGCACATGGTCGATTCCGAATATTGGGGGGACTCCAACGAAGCTTTCCGAGTGATCTACAGGCTCCCACCAAATTACCCAAAGTCCCTGGGTCAGCGCCTGCTAGCAACAGCAGAAGCCATCGCTATCGGGCTGATGAAGTCCGCTTTGTGTGCACAAAAGAACTTCCTACAAGCCCCACGGTTGGCATGGCCCACAGTCACTTAGCGCCATGCACGCATCCAGGCTATGTTTGTCTCCCTCCCCCCGCTCCCCCCGCATTCCCCCTCCCATAGACTACTCCATCAAACCCTACCCCTACAACCAGCCGTCGCTTATCGATCTCCACCCCCATTCCCACTGCTCACTTGCCCGAAGAGACGAACACGTTTAACCTCGCACTCATTTTCCATATAAATGTAAGGCCTGACGAGAATTTGTCGAAAGTACACGTATACTCGCCAAACTGGACTTCTGAAATAAATAACTTGTATATTTAAGGCCCAACGGGCCCTTTCATTACAAAGTTAGTGCTATCGTGAAAATAAGAAAATAAAAGTAGGAAATCACATCTGCGTGACAACAAAAATTAGTAGTATGTTACGCGTGATAAGATGGTAAGTTAGATCCTATTAACAACGAACTCTTATAAACTAATTATCTGGGCAGTGAAAAACTCCTACATCGGTGAATGAATTCAGCGAGCCACCGAGTTCCAAAAAATGTAGGACAAAGAACTA